ATATACTGCGATTGTGATTTTTAATAAAAAACGTTTTGCAATCAGGGATTGAATTACACGTTTTTACATTATATGAAGTTAATTAAAATAAGATACATATTCAAAATAAGCTATATAAGAAAATATAAAATTATTAAAACGTTAATTTCAAACTACGAATAAGTTCTAATTGCATATGGGATAAAACTATTTCTAAACCGTTCAGTTTTAGCTTTAATATAATAGATATAGATTTTTGGGGACACCCGGTATATTGTTGATATTTTTTTTAATTATTTCGTTAAATATTACAACGCAGAGATTATAACGTATAAATATTCCGTATAATATTCAAAATATATAGACCATTCAGAGTTTGGGCCACCTGTGGACTGATAACTAAATAAATATTAACCGCTGTCCAAACATACTGGCTCACTACCACATAATGATGCAAATTATGAATGCACCGCGTATAATGCTCGAACCACCGCGTATAATGATGTAAGCACCGCATATAATGCCGAAAGCACCGCGTATAATGCTCGAACCACCGCGTATAATGCTAGAACCACCGCATATAATGATGTAAGCACCGCATATAATGCCGAAAGCACCGCGTATAATGCTCGAACCACCGCGTATAATGCTAGAACCACCGCATATAATGGTGTAAGCACCGCATATAATGCCGAAAGCACCGCGTATAATGCTCGAACCACCGCGTATAACGATTTAAGCACCGCGTATAATGCTCGAACCACCGCATATAATGCTAGAACCACCGCGTATAATGTTGAAAGCACCGCGTATAATGCTCAAAGCACCGCGTATAATGCTAGAACCACCGCGTATAATGGTGAAAGCACCTCGTATAATGCTCAAAGCACCGCGTATAATGCTAGAACCACCACGTATAATGGTGAAAGCACCGCGTATAATGCGAAAAGCACCCAACAAAATGTCGTTTGATCACTTAAGACAGCTATGGCTTTCCATATGACTGGGACGCAAATTTATGCATGATTGTTTTGTCTGCGATAATATTAAATGGTCACCGCTTTTCACAATGTTCAAAGCATTCCGTTTGAAAGTTTTACTAGACTCTAGACTCAATTCGCGCCATAGCCTTATTAGGTTTGTATATTTGTCGATACGTATATTCGACGAAATTGATTCAAGAAAAAACAAGGTAGAAAAACGAGACATCCGTAATGTCCCGTAATCATGTGTCGATCCGAAGTTCCGAGGGTGGGATTGCTTTCGTAATTTTTTTTGCATCAAACATGTACGGATCGCATGCAACCTGATCACTGATTCATACTGTGTTTCGTGTGATCACAGTAGTCAGTAGTAGCGATAAAACGCAAACACTTCGGTCATTTATACTGATGATCAGATGATGTGCCATCCACTGCAGCTCTGCCGGACAACGGGCTTCAATGCTTCATTAATTAAGGCTAGAATTCTTAGACAGTACCGAAATGTTAGGCATCACATATTGTTATTAGGCTAGTATAGGCTATACATATTTTTTCGAGATGTTATTTAGTATAAGGGAACCAGGCTAAATTCCCGCTACATTTTATTTCATATGGGGAACCGGCTTGCCTAGATTTCAATAGCCTTTGTTCCAGCCGACTACTCATTGTGTGTACCTAAGATCTCAGTTGGATCCTCCGACATTGCCGGACTCAATCTCAACATAACTTGAGCGAGTAAGCCGACAACTCTGGCAACCCAACAAGCTGGACTGGAAATCGTTTCACAATGCATGCGCATGCTTTATTCTAATTAAAAACGTCTAAAATATCCGAGCGGGAAGCAAACGGAACGAAAATGCACCACTGCAGCTGTTTCCACCAACCAAAAATGTGCCTCCTGTTCTAATGTAAAAGGCCTTGGCATAGTGTCTTTGGATTTCTATCTGTGCCTCAGCAAACCTAACTTGTTTCGTTTCCTCGTCAATATTGCGTGGGAATTTGAAGGTGAGCCAACCCATCTCAGTGGCCCAGCAAGTGATGACACCTTCTTTCAGCGCCAGCTCGGTTCATATAGCACTTCAAGACTTCTGTGACGCAGGCTAGGTTCATAGCATCTTCAAACTTCCAAAATACAACTTATATAAAGGGTGTATATAATATAACTATTCTAAGACATAAGGCACCCACACATAAGACTGATGGAACAATTAATACTTTCAACACCGTCCTGAATTGTTTCAGTGTTTGGGCTCCACCTCAAATCAAGCTCATGCAAAAATCTTTTATGTCAGCCTCCGCTGTTCTTCTTCAAATTAATTTAAACTTTAATAAATCTTTCTCCTCCCCGGCGAGGTCCACCTAAGGGCTGCTTTATGAATCCTGTTCGGCCTCATTGTTATTGCATATGTCCCAGATCAAGATCATTTGAGCGGTCTTTTCTTTTAAGTATTTTCTCTTAATTTTTATACCATGCAGGCATTATAGCTGTCAGTTTCTTGTAGAGTTCGCAGTGAGAAATATACGCAGAGGGCCGGGAGATAATATACTGCATGTTTGACTATATATCCTGGTTTTCTTTGTTAGCATTCTTAACAGAGACTGATGTTTACCATACTTATATCACTCTTTGTCTTTGCCAATTCGCCAGTAGAAATGGGAGATTTTCAGATTTTGAAAAAGGATTAAAAGGAAGTAACAATTTGGACACTAGCTTACTCGGACTTTGTCTTTGAACTTCAAAACAATGTATAATTAAAATTTTAAACGCTGTCGGTTTCCAATCTTAATGTCTGAGATTTCAACGCCGCAAAGAGAAGTCTGCGCGTATAAGTTACAAAGCATGACATAACATTAGTATATCTGTAGCTTTTGTGAATGGATCTACTTAGAGAAAATATGCATTAAAGCTAATTAATTAAAATTAATCAGATTTTTATTTAGTTCTTCAGCATGTAGCATTTATTTATTTCTTTCTTTCCACTTCAGCTATAAAACGTTTTGGAAGTTGCTTTTGTTTAACCACCACTGCCATATAAGTCAATCAATACATAAGTATACTTTCCAATTACCCCCCCCCCAATTCCCCCGGAGGTAGTGTTTGCTTAAATGCCATAGAACTATATTGCTGGCAGTTGCCGTGTATTAATTCATACAAACTCAGATCCCTAAGAATAGCAAGATTAGGCCAAAAACGTGGGCACGTCTCATGGCAATGCTGGAATGAGTTAATTGAATTGATAAGTGCTCTCAAGCTTGTTAGTAAATTAAATAGTTGTCATGTCAACGAAATCACTTGCGCACAGCCACTGTGAGCCACAGGCAATAAAACATTTTTCGAGATACGTAGTTTTTTTTGTGTGTTTTTTTTTTATTTAATAAATAATACGTAGTTCCCCATCTATTTTGTTCAGTTTGGAACATATATACATGCAATGAGCCTGCTACACAATTTAACAATTCCTGCTAAAGTATCATATTAGCCTTATTTCATATTGACATTAGCCTTGTTTCATATTGATGTCGAATATGGAATATCTCATTTTCGTATTTTTGCACAAGTGAACATAACAAATCCTACAACAGTGATTACTCAAATTTGACGTATTAAGCTGTTATATTCACCTACAGGCGAATATAACAAAACCGAAATTTTCAAAATGGCGGCTAGCCGTTTTGTGGAAGTTATACTGATAAAGAAATAAGCGAAATTAAAATAAATTCAGTCCCAAAAAACATAAAAATACTAAATTAAAACAATTATTCGCCTCAGGCTCGGTGATTATTGGGGAATATTCACCTCGACTTCGTCTCGGCGAATATTCCCCGATAATCACCTCGCCTTCGGCGAATAATTGTTAAATATTTTTTATTTGTGCACAGCCGCTAGTGACATTTTTATTTCCTGCAATCTGATTGGCTGCGTGATCGGGCAGCTTTTTACCATATATTGACCGTGCATGGTCCAAAGGGCTACTTTTTAGCGATATAATAGGCTGATATAATAAAACAGTTATTTTCCACTCATTCTAGTCGTATGTGGCTGATATCCCACTTCATACGCGACTCGATCGAGTTCGCAGAATAACTGTTAAATATTCCTGCTTAATTGTAAATCATCATGACTGTCATCTGTGGAGCTACTATAAAAAATTCCTCATATAATTTACAGCAGTTCACTGAACAGCTTCAACTAAACTGACTAAACCATCTAGACAAATGATTACTCCCGTAGTCTTGAAAGAAAGATGTGTTGCCACGACAACAATCTAAAACTTTGGCTCTGGATCAGCTAATGATGTACTACTTCGCCAAGTTTCGATTTTGAGAAGATTAATTTCAAGAACAACAACTAATGACGCAATCAATCTTCCCCAGTCTAAGTTTACATAGCGATAATGATGATTGTTTTGTTTTGTGGAAATAATGCGATCTAATTTGACAACGCCAAAGCTTTCGATATGTAAAAGCCTGGGTCATCATGTATAATTACCGTATTTTCTCTAATCAGTTTGATTTTTCATAGTGAAAATAAGTTAATTTTGGTCTAGTATAGGCTACTCGCCTGTTGGCGTTCGTAGTTTTTGAACGTCATCTTAATTAAGCTGTAACGCACGCATAAGAAAGCTGATTGATTAAAAACGGGATAATTTATTAAAAAAATAAACACGGTCACGGTATTATAAGACCAGATGTTATTGTTCTTCTTTCCCAAAAGCTTATAATCGTTAATTTCCCAGATTAACCTGAATTTAATCATTTCAATTCAGTTCCTTCCCGTTTTCATAAGGAAAAGAAAAATAAAACTTCGTGGGAGAAATAGCTATAGTTGCCTGGTTGGATCTAATCCCACATTCATATATAGTATATACGGAACTGTTTGGGGGAACAGACTCAGTGTTTAACAAGTGTGTCAATTTGCTCAAACATTTCTTACAAATCCTTCAACTGAACTTAGAATTTACCAGTGCAAAATTCCTACTGTGATCACAGAAACTTTGAGTAGTGTATACCAGGGCTTAACAAAGACAAAAACGCTTCTCAAATGATAAATATTTTATTGCATATTATTACGTGCTAAGCAATACAGATGGTTTGATGCGGATTAAAGAAAAAAAAATGTGCTTGTGCGAAATTGCTCAGTTTTCCATACACGGTAGTTCTCGTATTTTTAACCGCTGATTTGATGTAAAATGTGACCGTGCACTACATGTCTCCCAGCCTGTGCTTTTCCACTTCCAGCCGATCCATTCAACTGTTTCAATGACCGTTGTGCCTGCAATAAGAAAAATTGAGAAGAGTGTTTACTTGTAAATTTCAGAATACGTTATAACTGACCTTTATATCTAATTGCCACCCAATTAAACAACCTCTGTATGCAGTTTATCAGTGGTTTATGGAACTTTGGCCTCTAAAAGGCTTGTGCATAATTCGCTGAGTTGACTGACTGGTAACTATTCAATAGTTGGGTAACCATTCTCTGTACATACAGTGAAGCATTATTCTTACTTAAGAGTTTCCAAAATAGTCAATATTTATCCTATTTGGCATGGTTAATTTGATTTCCTTATTATTATTCTTTTCCGCCGCAAGGTCAAGGATTTAGAATTTACTGGACTAAACTAATGATGACATATCCTAATTGAACATTCATTCACTATAAGACTATTTATCATGCTGTCGAATACATTGATTGGCGACAGAATTTCTGAGAAACGCGTTATCTTTCAATTCTAACATAATATTAGGGGCGGACCATTAGAAATCCCAGGAGGGGGGGGGGTGGTATAAAATTTTTGCGGCACTTCCTTCATTTTAGGTGGCAAACGTTTAAAGCTAAACTGGAAACATACACGGCATGTACTAGATTGTCAAAGAGCCTACAAACTTTCCCAAGATTACTTGGATTGAGTTCCAAATAACCACTCTCATTTTAACAGTCTTAATACGAAAAGACATCTTTGGCTAACGAGCGTTTGTTTATACAGGGCCGTCACGAAGAGGCTAAAGCAGGGGGGGGGGGGTAGCATTGCATTTGGCGACAAAATTTCAATTGCTAATTAATATTTCTTTTTCCGAAATTATTGATGTAAAAATATTCCATCTTTCGTTAACTTTCGAGTTCGTTCAATTTTTCGGCAATGTTTTCGTAAATTTATCCGCAATATTTATAATTTTTTGCTGTAATTAACTTTACTATGTTACTTTTTAATCAGTGCCACTCAAATACTTTTGCTGACTACGAAAACAATTTGCCGACAAAACAATTATTTTGCTGACATGATGTTTTCAGGGGTGTCACCCCACATCTCCATAGCGACGGCCCTGTGTTTATACCCAATTCACAACTTTAGATAACTCCTCACATGCCTAATTATCATTGTTCTAGTATACAAAAGCATAGAATAGAACAAAGGTAACTGTAAAGCTTTAGAGTTATCTGCATAATTAGTGAATAACTCGTATACAGTAACAATACGTAAATGGCTACTTTCGTTCTATTCTATGCCTCTGTAAACTGTAAACTAGAACAATAGAATAACTAGGCAAGTGAGTTATGTAAAGTTGTGAATTGCGTATAGCAACGATGTAAATTATTCATCCTGTAAATGTTCCCGTGGGACTGCAAAATCTGAATAGTGTCGTGTAGGTTTATATGTAATGACCAGATGGTTACAGTTGGTGCGCAATCCATGGAACGCTAGATACGCTTAAAAAATCATCCCTTGAATTAATTATACATTTAATTAAGCGTGCACAGTTTAATCGTTTCATGATGTTAATTCTTGTCACGAAGCACTACTGGACTAAGATAATACCAAAACTCTTTAATTATTTCTTTAATTACAATACTCAACAACGATTAATCTCCACGAAATACATCTCACAATTTCACCTTAACTCTACAATATCTCACTTCCATGCGGTTCTCTCTCCTCTAAAAACACATACACTAAAAGGCGCTAAAACACATACACTAAAAGGCGCTTCTCTACACTCCCCCCACCTAAAATCAACTTGATTACTGACTATATCAGTTCACTGGTTAACTCAACACGAAAGTAGGTATAAAATAGTTCAAATCAACAAAGTTCATGCAACACTTCCATTACTATAATAGTGTTTAACTTATCTGTTCACAGTGTTTAATAATCCAACACAGGTACTCCATAACGATCGGGTTGTCTTCGATTCTGTCTTAAGTTATAACGTAAATTTAATGGTTCTGCTTGATCATCGATTCCACGTGGTGCTAAACGTACTCCAGCACGCTCATTAATAAGTTCAATCGTAGACTCATCCGAATCAGAACTTAGCATGTCTTCCGATTCCTCACCCAATGGATTAGCAACTGTTTCTACGACAAACCGTCTTAGATTATTCGCATGTACAACTTTACGCTTTCTGCTTTCCAATGACTCTATCTCGCAATCGTTCTCTCGAATGTTAACAATGATGTAAGGACCTGTATACTTTTCATCTAAACCTCGCGCTCGAAAATTCTTTAATAGAACAGTGTCCCCCATGTAAAACCGCTTGTTTTGTTGTGCTCGATATCGTAAATCATAACTACGTTTCTGCTTCTCTTGCGCTTTCTCGATCCTTTTAGTAACCAATTTCCGGAGAATATCTTGTCTCTTCTTTAACTCTTCAACATATTTGGCTGGACCATGTGTTGGGCTAGATACCAGTTTTTCTTGATCCGTTCCAAATGGCAATCTCACTTCTCTACCATATAACATTTCGAATGGTGTCACACCCGTAGAGGATTGCGTACTAACCCGATAAGCCAGTAACGCATGTGGCAGCTGCTCGTCCCAATCATTTTTCTCTTTGTTTACTCTCATTCTCAACAAGGATTTCAAAATACCATTAAACCGCTCGCATAACCCGTCTGTTTGGGGATGGTAGGCTGTAGTCCGTCTCTTTTCAATTCCAAACATTTCACATAGACTTGCAATCACTTTGGACTCAAAATTACTGCCTTGATCTGTTAGTAGGACTGAGGGCATTCCATGTCTAGCAAAGATGTCCTCCAGGGCTCTCGCAACTGTAACTGCTTCTTGATTTGGCAATGCTACTGCCTCTGCGTACTTTGTGTAGTAATCAACGACTGACAAAATGTATTTGTTTCCTTTACTAGTTGTTTTTAATGGACCAATAATGTCTACACCAATCATATAAAATGGTATGGGTATCACTTCGATTGGCTTCATCGGACTCCGCGGCCTAGGTACTGCTTTATTTTTGGAACAAACTTCACAATTTCTACAAAATTCTTCAACAGCTTTAAAGAATCCAGGCCAATAAAACTTCCGTTGAATCATCTCAAACGTTTTTGCAACGCCTAAATGTCCAACTTGACAGTGGGCTTCTTTCAGTATGTTAGGAGTTAGATAGGTAGGTACCACAATTTGCTCTCGTTCCTTTGCTGTCTTATCAGTCCACTTTCGACATAAGACATGATTTTTGACAACCAATGAATCAAAATTCTTGTATAATGTATCTAGAGTTACACTCACATCAACCGGTTTTTGATCTGGTCTAGAACCACTTTGCACCCATTCTTTAACCAACTGAATATCCTCGTCGAACGTTTGCATGTCTTCAAACTCTTGCCAGGTTGACATCGAAACCAAGATAGTGTTCACAGGTGCACGAGACAAGGCATCCGCATGCTGCATTTTCGTGTTAGGTAGGTGTTCTATCGTATAGTCATATTCTTCCAATTTTAAGATCCAACGAGCTAATTTACCATTTGGATGTTTGATGTCTCGAAGCCATTTCAAAGCCTTATGATCAGTATATATGGTGACCTTTCTCCCATATACATATGGGTGAAAGTATTGTAAAACCCAGACCACTGCAAATGCTTCCTTTTCTGTTGTTGTCCAGTTCTTTTCAGCACCCGAAAATGCCTTAGATGCAAAAGAAACCACTTTTTCTTCCTCATTTTCATCCTTTTGGGTCAGCACTGCGCCTATGCCCACATCACTCGCATCCGTATACAATATATAGTCTCCATTTAAGTCAGGAAATGCCAAAACAGGGGCAGATATAAGTTGTTCTTTCAGTTGTTCGAACGCTCGTTGACAGTTCTTGTCCCAATCAAAGCGGACACCTTTTTGCGTCAGACGATGAAGAGGACCTGCAATGTCACTGAAACCAGAAATAAAACGCCTGTAGTAAGAGGTCATACCCAGGAAACGTCGCAACTCAGTGAGATTCTGTGGGGTAGGAAAAGCACGGATTGCTTCAACTTTGGTCACATTTGGGGCCAGACCAGCAGCAGAAACGGTAAAACCCAAGAAATCCACACTTGGCTTCGCAAAACTACACTTGGACAACTTAAGTCTCAATCCATCTTTGTCTATAGCCTGCAAGACATCGTCCAAATTCTCCAAATGTTGGTCAAACGTGCGACCCACGACCAAAACATCATCTAAGTAAACCAGACACTTGAGTGGCAAAAGACCATTCAACACAGTAAGCATAAGTCGCTGGAACGTGGGCACAGCATTCGTTAGGCCAAAGGGCATACGCAGGAATTCAAAGTGACCACCCCCTGGGATCACGAAAGCTGTTTTCTCCTGACTAGATTCGTCAACTGGAACCTGCCAATATCCCGAGGCTAGGTCGAGTGTCGAAAAATACTGATGACCAGCTAAGTTATCCATCAAATCAGCAACCTGGGGAAGTGGGAAAGCATCTTTCACTGTGACATCATTTAGTTTCCTGAAATCAATACAAAACCGCCATGTCCCATCTTTCTTTCGAACTAAGACTATAGGACTTGACCATGGTGAATTACTCGGCTTAATTATGTTGTTTTCCAACATTTCTTCTACTTGGTCTTCAACAACGGTTCTCAGAGAATTGGGCAGTCTTCGAGGCAGTTGTTTAACAGGTACGGCATCGCCTGTCTCAATCTTATGCTCTGCTAGTGTGGTTACGCCAAGTTCACTAGAATTTTTTGCGAAAATATCTTGGTGTTTATTCAACAAATTTTCCATCCTCTCTCGCTCCTCACCCGACAGATGCTCTAACTCAAATTTGATCTTATCCTCAGCAGATGGTGTACCACACTTTGAATTAATAAATGTTGGGTCTCTTAACTCATCACCAACTTGCTGAAGGTGCCCAACCGTCATGCCCTTGTACAACTTAATAGGTGATGTCCCTGGATTAATAATCTGGATGGGTACCCTCTGTTCTTTTGGCTGTACAATAACTCTTGCTACAAGAACACCTTTCTCGGATAAATTCATATTAGGCTCTAAGATGCTTTCATTTAAAGTGGGATTTCGGACCCTGGCAGTTTTGAAAACTTCATGTTTCGCCGGAACAACCAAATCCTCATCTAGAACAACGCCCAGGGGATCTGCTATGGTTGAATCAAATAAACACAAGGGTTTTGTGGTACCATCTGGGAATTTCAAAACCATTTCAGCCATATCGACATTTACTTTATTAGTTACTAACCAATCTAAACCCAGAATAATTTCAGACACCATTTCATTAGCCACATAAAAGTCATGAGATGACTTGTTGTTTTCATCAAATTGCACATTCAAGGTGGTTTTGCCCAAAATCCCAATGGGAGAATTGTTAGCGGCTTCTGCAACAATATCGGATGGAAATAATGGGGTATCATCCAGTTTAAGAGGTTGCCACTGGTCTTTACTAACTAATGAAATAGATGCGCCAGTGTCAACTATACAAAGTTTGTTTTTCCCATTAATAGTAGTCTCGACCATAAGGGTTTTCTTCTTACTCGCTGAAGAAACGGTAGACAGTCTGATTTTTGAATCATTTTTCTTGGGGCTTTCACCATCTCTACTAGAACCCATACCTCCCTCCAACTTGGCATTACAGAACTTTGCAATATGGCCACTATTCCCACAACGATAGCAAATGGTCACGTGTCTATCCATTTGCCAATTCTTATCATAACCTTGGAGCTTAGTATTAACTGGTTGTTGATTAGCCAAGGGGCAGTATTTTGCCAAATGTCCTGGCTTTTGACATGAATAACATAACTTAGTTTGTGGACGTGCAGTATTATTTTGCCTGAAGTTGTTCATAGTAGGGCACTGTCTGGACACATGACCAAATCCATTACACG